ATTATGAACCTTGTCTTTGACAGTACCAAATTGAATGGTTTACTCTTTATCATACTAACCTATCTCATGAAGTTTCGTTAAGTTTTGTGTGATTGAAGTTTTCAAGCTTTGGGTGAGATATCGATATGAGGAGTGGAAAGACCCTAAGCTTGGGGATGACCAAGGCACCCTAAGGTAATATTCAAGAAAGACTCAAGCACCTAAGCTTGGGGATGCCCCGGAAGGCACCCCCTCTTTCGTCTTCAAAACTATCGGTATACCTTACTTGGAGCTATATTTTTATTCGTCACATGATATGTGTTTTGCTTGGAGCATATTTTCAATTTTACTTGTTGTTTGAATAAAATATTTGGATCTGAAATCTTGAATGAAAAAGAATCCTCCCATGGCTATTTAGTTATTTGACTACTCATTATTCTTCACTTATATCTTTTTGGAGTAGTTTGTCATTTACTCACGTGCATCACATATATCCTATGAGTAAATGGTTGAGTGAATTGAATATCATAAATCTGAATTTATATATGTTTCATATGCTTATAACATGGGGATTAATGACTTCACACATAATAAGTATAGTAGTAAACTTATTGGAAGTTAGCAAACGTAGAATTGGTCACTTGAACAATTCATGAAAGAATATTGAAGGAAGAGAGATTTCACATATAAATATACTATCTTGGACATCTTTTGTAATTGTGAGCACTCATCAAAATATGACATGCTGAAAAGTTGATGTTGGACAAGGAAGACAACTTAATGGGTTATGTTTTTGTATATTCGAAACGTTATATTATCTTGGATCATCCAACATGTTGAGCTTGCCTTTCCCCCTCATGCTAGCCAAATTATTTGCACCAAGTAGAGATACTACTTGTGCTTCCGAATATCCTTAAACCCAGTTTTGCCATGAGAGTCCATCATATCTACCTATGGATTGAGTAAGATCCTTCAAGTAAGTTGTCATTGTAGCAAGCAATAAAAATTGCTCTCTAAATATGTATGATCTATTAATGTGGAGAAAATAAGCTTTATATGATCTTGTGATGTGGAAGAAATAAAAGCGACGAACTGCATAATAAAGGTCCATATCACAAGTGGCAATATAAAGTGACATTCTTTTGCATTAAGATTTTGTGCATCCAACCATAAAAGCGCATGACAACCTCTGCTTCCCTCTGCAAAGGGCCTATCTTTTAGTTTTATCTTCCACCCTTATACAAGAGTCATGGTGGTCATCACCTTTCCTTTTTTACACCTTTTCCTTTGACAAGCACTTTATGTTGGATCGATCCGGATATATATATCCACTTGGATGTAGGTTCTCATAAATTATTATTGTTGACATTACCCTTGAGGTAAAAGGTTGGGAGGCGAAACTATAGGCCCTTATCTTTCTCTGTGTCCGAGTTAAACTTTGAACCCATAAATATCACATGAGTGTTAGTAGTTGTGAAAGGTTAAATGATAGTTGAGTATTTGGAGTTTGCTGAATCAAAGCTCTTACATAGACCCTTTCCGAAAATAAGATGAATTGCAATTGTTTGATGACTAAGAGCACGGTTTGTTAGTTTTCAAGGAAGTTTATGATCTATACTTTAACATGTGAATAGCTTGTTACTTGATCATGGGAAGTTTTATGAGTTGAGCTACTGTTATGATATATAATGATGCTAGAACAACTGATTGAAACTATCATTGATCAAATTTATGCACTTGCTAGCATTCACACTTCATAAATTATTTCTTTTATCATTTACCTACTCGAGGACGAGCAGGAATTAAGCTTGGGGGTGCTGATACGTCTCCAATGTATCTATAATTTATGAAGCATTCATGCTATTATATTGTCCATCTTAGATGTTTTATATGCATTTATATGCTATTTTATATGATTTTTGGGACTAACCTATTAACCTAGAGCCCAGTGCTAGTTTCTGTTTTTCCTTGTTTTTGAGTATTGCAGAAAAGGAATACCAAACGGAGTCCAATTGACGTGCCAATTTTTGATGATTTTTTATGGACCAAAAGAAGCCTCCAGAGTAAAAGAGTTGGGTCAGGAGAGTCCCGAGCTGTCCACGAGGGTAGGGGCACGCCCCACCCCCCTGGGCGTGGGCCCCTATCTCGTGGACGACTCGGAGACCCCCTAACGTGAAACCGACACAAAAAATTCCTATAAATACAGAAACCCCCAGAAAATAACCTAGACAGAAAGTTCCGCCGCCACAAGCCTCTGTAGCCACGAGAAATCAATCTAGGCCCTCTCTGGCACCCTGCCGGAGGGGGCCATCATCACCGGAGGCTATGGAGGAGGATCCCAGAAGGGCCATCATCACCAAAGGGAGAACCTCTCCCCATCCTGAGGGAGGCCATGGAGGAGAAAGCACAAGGGGGAGAACCTCTCCTCCTCTCTCTCGGTGGCACTGGAGTGCCATCGGGAGTGGAATCATCGCCGCGGTGATCTCTTCATCAACATCCCCATCATCATCACCATCCTCATCTCTTTTACGCGGTCCATTCTTCCGCACCCCGCTGTAATCCCTACTTGAATATGGTGCTTTATGCCACATATTATGATCCAATGATGTGTTGCCATCCTATAATGTTTTGAGTAGATGTCCTTTGTCTTTAGGTTGATTAATGATCTAGATTGGTACGAGTTGTATGTTTTATTTTGGTGCTGTCCTATTGTGCCCTCCGTGTCGCGCAAGCGTGAGGGATTCCCACTGTAGGGTGTTACAATACGTTCATGATTCGCTTATAGTGGGTTGCTTGAGTGACAGAAGCATAAACCCGAGTAAGGGGGTTGTTGCGTATGGGATAAAGGGGACTTCATGCTTTAATGCTATGGTTGAGTTTTACCTTAATGATCTTTAGTAGTTGCGGATGCTTGCTAGAGTTCCAATCATAAGTGCATATGATCTAAGAAGAGAAAGTGTGTTAGCTTGTGCCTCTCCCTCATATGAAATTGCAATGATGATTACCGGTCTTGTTAACAATTGCCTAAGACAATTTCGCACACCGCTCCATCATTATTTCACACTCGCTATTTATAATATTTAGTAATATATTCTAACTTTATGATAACAGCACCTACTTTTATATTTTATCTCTTCAATACCATGCAAAGTTATCCTCTTCATACCCACAATATAGTTTTATTTCTCGTTTCTAGTTGGAAGCAAATGTTCGGTGTACGTAGAGTCGTATGAGTGGCAGATAGGGCTTGAGAGAATATTGATCTTACCTTTAGCTCCTTGTGGGTTCGACACTCCATACTTATCACTTCCACCATTGGAAATTGCTATGATAATTCCCTGCACTTGGGGATTATCAATCAGCCTCACTATGAGTCGGCCACAGTGGCGCAAAAAGGGGAGTAAAACGTAATTGCGCGAAGCGTGTAAGGGTAGCAAAAAAGTTGAGAGTTGAGGCTAGAGTTTGATCCATGTGCTAAATTGGTCGACTCCCTCAAAAATATAAAGTAAAATTGGTCGGGTTTCTTTCTAAAAAAAACGCCAAATTGGCCATGCCAGAACTGCCTTTTTATTTTGGAGGGAACCGGCCAATTTAGCTGCGTGTCAGCGAAATCACTAGTTGAGGAGTACTTATTGTAAAGATCACTCCAACTCCCAGGTTGCGACAAGTGACGCACATGCAGCGCGCCACTTGTCGTAACCGGGGAGTTTTCCCTTTCGTAGATCCATTTATTTAAAATGTTTATCTCTCAAACCGTACGTCCAAATTTCAAACCGTTTTCACCGTTGGATTCCCCGCGTCGAGATCTTCAAAACTAGATCCCATGTTTATAGGTTTTGATGAACTTTTTTTCACGAAAAAATCGGCCGAAAAAACCCGGAGAAGAAAACCAAACCAGGAGCATGGGTTTTTCCCTTTCCAAAAGAGGCAAGCCCGTGCCTCTCACGAAATCACAACCGTGCTTCTCGCGGAAGCAAAACCGCGACTCTCGCGAAAGAAAAAGAAACATAAAACGTGTTTTTTTCGTTTTCAAGGAGGCACGACCGTGACTCTCAAGAAAGCTTACCCGTGCCTCTCGCGGAAGCAAAACCGTGACTCTCGCGAAAGAAAAAAAAACAAAAAATGCGTTTTTTCGTTTTCAAGAGGCACGACCATGACACTCGCGAAAGCACAATCGTGCCTTTCGTGGAAGCAAAACCGTGACTCTCGCGAAAGGAAAAAAATAGAAAACATGTTTTTTTTTCTGTTTTCGAGACGTACGGCCGTGACTCTCGTGAAAGCACAACCGTGCCTCTCGCGAAAGTAAAACCGTGACTCGCGAAAGGAAAAATAACAGAAAACGCGTTTTTTTTTCGTTTTCGAGAGGCACGGCCGTGACTCTCGCGGAAGCAAAACCGTGCCTCTCGCGAAAGCAAAACCGTTACTCTCGCGAAAGACGCGCACATTTTTTTTCTTTGAATTTTTTTCTTTTCGAAAAGCTAAGGAAGACAGGTGGAAAACCAAAACGTGTTAAAAACCCGAAAAAACCGTTTAAATAGGCGAAAACGCGTGCAAAAAAATAAAAAAACAAAATTCAGAGAAAGCGCCCAGAACATGACACGTGACAAATGGCTGAGAGCGCACCAAGTGACGCTGATCGTTGCAAGGCTTTCGAAAAAGCGCTCGTTAACTAATGGCTCCCGTGTGTCAGGCTGGGTATGTGACGTGTCGTGCACGGGTGCTTCTGGGCCGGCCCGCGAAGCACAGCCGTTTCCCTCCCGAGCTTCGGACTTAAATCACTTAACACAGACCGAATTGGGTCTAGGAAGAAAATTGGAGCCCAAACCTGCCATTCTCCTAGTCTCCATTGTTAGAGAAAGTTGTCCGCTCAAATCCATCAGAAATCCATCGCGACGTCCTCCCGGAAGCCACCGGCAGCGCCTGAACGCCGGTGTCCCACGGAGCCCAATCCATCTCTCTTCCCCGGTTCGCGGCCTGTGGAAAGCGAAAGTGGTTGTTAGGGTTTTGCCGGCGCCTCTCCGATGGCGGAAGATGCTGGTAGTCGGATTGAGGTGGCCAACCTCCTTTCCCTCGGCGAGGACCTCGTCGGGGTGCTCCTGGGCAGCAAGGACGGCGAAGCCCTTGCGCAGGCCTGCGACGGGGCACGGATGCTGCGCTCCGCCTGCTGCTCCGAGTCCGGGGACCTCGAGCTCCAAGTCAAAGGTCCGTTCTCTCCGGCTCTGTTGAGATTCCGATTCATGTCGTGTTTAGAACTCCTCGTGTGGTGAAGACGATTTTGGTGCTCAAGTTCAGTGGGGGAAATTTAGGGTCACTGGCAATTTTTGAGTACCTGTGGTTGAAAATCCTGCTTAAAAGGGCCTGATTTTGAATAAAAAACTAGCATATCTAATTTACTTAGCATTCCAGCACCTGCATACCAAAGGATTCAAGGAACACTTTACATACATTAATTCAAGCACCTGTTATGGAAACAAAATAATAACAGTGGGTTACCTTTGAAATAATTAGAGAAGTGGTGATGGTTGACTAGTTGAGAATTTGACAATAAAAGTGGCATGCTTCTTTTGTGCAACAGAGTATGAGGAAAAATTGAACTCCTGCAAGGAAAAGGTTGACAAGTCAAAAGCTGAAACAGTTACTGATGAAGAACTGAACACGCTACGAAATGAGATGGAGGAGAAACTCCGGGGGGAGCAACAGCTTCGCCAAGACTTAAGATAAGTTCTTATTTCAACATCTGTATCATTATCATCTGAATTGCTACCTTAAGTTGGATTGCTGATACAGTTTATGTTGTCAACACAGCGGTGAGTGATGAGCTTGATAACCTAGACCGTCAAAGGGCTTCTATAGAAGAAAGAAAGGATGCTGTCAAGAAGAAGGAGAAAGACATGCTGAAGGCACAGTAAGTCCAGATTTGTATCACCGAGTACATGTATGTACATTTTGCTTTCGTAACTGCTCACATGCCATTAGTGGGAAACTATTTGGATGGTCAAGCTAGCTAGAAAATCTCATCTGGGCTGTATAACTAGCAGCACCATTACGTTGTCCATCCCAACAGTAAGTTCTATGTAGTGGCCTGTTTGATATTCACCGTTATATAAGAACTAGGATTGAAGTTCAAATCGGTATTTGTAGTTCATTTCTAAATTATGAATTTGGATAATGCTACCGCTTCCTTATCTTCCCCCTGACATATTTTGCCATTGCATTTCATTTCATTTCATTGCACACAAGATTGTCGAGCAAAGTTTGGTGATTTTTCTAAACACTGGTTGGAATGTAAATGAATGGTTCCTCCTAATTCAGTATGAGATGAGTTTCAGGACTGTTGCTTGTACCGGTTATCCTATTTCGCAGTTAAATTGACCAACTACATTTTTGTGCAGAAGTATGCTCTCCATGTGTGTGTCAGTTACAAATATCATGCCAGATTTCGAAGATCAGGAGAAGATTTCTGGATGTATCCTTTCAATATGTTACTGTTTTGCCTTCTTTTCTTGTACTCAAGGACATCAGTTTCTACCTATGGACGTCGAATAAACTACTATTCTGCATTTTGTCACTATATTATTTTTATCTGCAGCAAACAAAACTTGTGTGCAATCCTTAGCTTTTTATCAGATATTGTTGACAAGAACAGGAAGAAGCTAGATAAGTTCGAATTTGAGAAGACAATGTCACCAGTTGAGATCGGGGACAAGCTTTGGAAAATGATGTAGGGCCTGGTACCTGCAGATTGTAGTCATTGTACATTAGCAGCAATTGCATTTGTAGGCTGTTGTGCAAGGTAACCGCCCACCAATCGGAAGAATGCAACTCTCCCAGTTGCTTCAAATGACCTAGTTGTATGGCATCCTGTTATTCATATCTTGGCAAATATACTAGCTCAGCTCTGTTGTCGATCTGGATTTGATTTCCTGCACTGGCATTTCATTCACTTTTAGTTTGAGAAACCAAATCTCCCTTATATCAGCACCTGCTACTCCATACCTCTTAGGCCTGTACGATGTGTAAAATGTAATGTTTGCCCTGTTTCTTTTTGTTGGATGTTTTTGTCACTTTTACTTGATATTGCTCACCTGTATTGTTTAAAATCATGTTGAAATAATGTGATCATCATATATTGATGTATGATATGTAGAATATAAATGAAATATCATGTGCTCTGTTTGTTTCAATATATGGTTCATTCATGTATTTTCCTCTGTCCATAATTAACGTAAGGTAGAGGCACTTCTTGATTTATTTTTCTTTGACCAACAATTTGTGTAACCATTTTAAGATTGTGCGATGCAGATATATATCATTGGCTTTGACGGTTGATGTTGAAAAGATCACATCTCAATGCTATTGACTTTCATAGATGATCCACATTTAATTGGATGTATTGTGGATTTTGAAAGTTGTGTGCATCGTGTATTTCTGGACGGAAGGAATATGGCACTCTGCATTTCGTCAATCTCGAAATACTAGTACTGTGAAGTTTGTCGAACTTGCAAACCCAGCCACCCAGGTGCTTTAGCTAGTGTTAATTCGAATGGCCGAAAAGGAAAAAAAAACACTTGATTCATGGTATCATCTTCTCAGACCAGGAAAGTGAAGCGCATGGAGCACCTGAATTAACTAGTTGACAGAGAACGTCGTGAGGACAATACTTTTTTGCATCTCTTATACTCTGTATTAGTGTAGGACAGATCAGATACGTTTGCCAAGGGGATGTAGCTCATATGGTAGAGCGCTCGCTTCGCACGCGAGAGGCACGGGGTTCGATTCCCCGCATCTCCATTATTGTTTTGTTCTTTCTACTTTAATAATCAAAAATAATGCTTCTGTCCCTGTTTCTTGTTGTTATTTATCGATGATGTTTTAGGCTCGCATCTCCATATTTTTGTACTTAATGCTTCTGTCCCTATTCCTTGCTGTTATTTATCGATAATGTTTTAGCCAATTATTGTTTTGTTCTTTCTACTTTAATAATCAAAAATAATGCTTCTGTCCCTGTTTCTTGTTGTTATTTATTGATGATGTTTTAGGCTCGCATCTCCATATTTTTGTACTTAATGCTTCTGTCCCTATTCCTTGCTGTTATTTATCGATAATGTTTTAGCCAATTATTGTTTTGTTCTTTCTACTTTAATAATCAAAAATAATGCTTCTGTCCCTGTTTCTTGTTGTTATTTATCGATGATGTTTTAGGCTCGCATCTCCATATTTTTGTACTTAATGCTTCTGTCCCTATTCCTTGCTGTTATTTATCGATAATGTTTTAGCCAAACTCACGTATGAATCATTGGGCTTGCTAAAGCGAAGTCTCAATCTCACGTTTAGCCTTGGACCGATGTTGCTTCTGTGTCGCGACGTTGCCGTCTGTTTAGTGATGATTCCGAGGGCTCGTCAGTGGTGCGCGCTGAGCCTATTTTGTGCTTTCCTCCTGTGTGTGTGTTTTGTGGTTCGTATTTGCGTTTTGCTTGTAAACAAAGTGATGCATTAGTATGGGAGAAATATAGTTAAAACGTATTGCTTGTAAAGATCACTTTCACCTTCTCTCATGGTGACAAGTGTCGTAGTGTATGTGTGATACATTTCGTAACCTGAGAGTTTTGCTTTAACGCGCCGGTCACAATCACCGGTTCAAGGCCATTACGTCTGTCATAATTTTGACTAGCCCCAAAGACCAACTAGTCTTTTTTGTGCATTTTATTCTCACTTGTGTTCACTTAGGAACAACTTTCATGTCAGTCACCCATTCTCAAACCGCACCAAGTCAAGAACGCTTAACTTTGGAGTTATTTGCGAATGAGCTCCCGGAAAAGAAAAAAAAATCCTTATTGATATGAGTACTCTATCATTACTATTAAATCAAAATATCACACTTGCGTTTTTTCCGTAGATTTGTTTCTTTAAAACGTTTTGTCTCTTGAACCGTGTGTTCAAATCATGAACTATTTTCACCGTTGTGTTTCTTTAAAACTTGACTGTGTTTTTTCCCACATAGTGTGCTTCACACTGGGAAAAGAAAAAAAGCAAAAAATATCATGAAAACCTACAAGAAACCAAGCACAATCCAAAAAAAACTGAAATGCGTATAGAAAAAGAAAAAAACTCTTGCGAGCGCCCAAAAAACAGGTAATGCAATTACGCTGCTAACATCAACCAACCTAGTCCCAACTGCTAGCATAGATTTAGATTGATAATCATGTGCGTGCAGTTCACATTAATATTAGGCAATACATTAACTGGATTGCACATTAATATTTGGTAAGCTATAAATTGCATGTTAATATTAGGTAGGATATAATTAGTTGGTAAATGCTGACATCGATATTATGCATGATATTAATTAGTGAACTATGCTAACCTATTTAATGCTAAATACTGGAGCGTGATAGACCGTTGAGTAGATGTGGCTGAACGGATGAGATTTGTTGGATCTCCACAACTTGCTCTTTTATATTTGTATAACATAGATAAATTTTACACGATTTCATCTACTTCGTCATGGCGAG